GCGCTAAAACGCAAAGGCGAATTCTTCGTCGTGATGCGATGAATAAGACTCGGGAAGAGAGATGGGCTTCTTTTGTAAAAGAACGTTCTGAAGTTTCTGGATGTCGCGGCCGACGAAACGTACAAATAAAGTAAACGCGTCTATCTAACAAAGAGAACTACAATCTCTCGGTAATTCTGGGCTCCTTTGGATTATTAATTATACATACAATATATATACATATGTACATATATATATATATATATGTAGTGTCTCCGCGGGCGCAAGAGAAACGAAAACGAGGTGGAATAAAACTTCGAGAGAAGAAAGAGAGTCGCTCTTTTTTTCCCTCCCTCTCGTTTCTTCCCCGTGTAAATAATTTCGCTCGGGTGTCCTAGTTATAAGTGACATCCTTTTTCTCGAAGGACTATACCGAGGAGATTGACCGCTTTAACGAGGATCTAAATCTTTAAGATCGTCTCGTTAAGCGGCTCGCGAGACAACGACTACGACGACGACGCTTCTCATCTCGGAGAAAACCGCGCTCGGACGACGACGATCAATGAACTCTCGCGACACCCTGTATATACCAAGAGCCCGAGGCGATGGGTGGGTGGACGTTTCGCGACCGAGACAGCGGGACCGTCATCGTCTCTGTGCAAACGCAAGGGGGCTCGAGCGCAGAATGGAGCGAGGGCCTGTACACAGATTCTTCGTTTTCACAAAAAAAAAAAAAAAAAAAAAAAAAAAAAAAGAAAAAAAGAAAAAATGATGACCGACGTACGTGGCTCTCTCAGACTGAAAGCACGAAGGATGCTGTGCGCGAAAATATTTCGACACGCGACTATTTATATCTCGCTGTGGACAAACGTTGGGTCTCGGATTTCACCATATTTCTTGTTGTTAAAAAACTCGATTTCTTCTTGAGAGAAAGAAAGAGAGAAAGAGAGAGAGAGAGAGACTCGCTGCAATAAAATTGACAACACTCGGAGAAATAATTCGAACAAAATAAACGCTTATCGTATATAAAACACCGAGTGTAATTGATATTTTGTATGCAAATAACCTGCTCAATCGTTCAGAGATCGACGTGTCAAGATCAAAGATTTAATATACAATAAAAACAACTTCTCAATTGCACGCCCTCTCGCTTATCTAATTCTAGAATTTCCCATAGAGAAAAATATCGATAACTGCGCGTATAAATAGTCGCTCGTTTAGGCGTTGGCCGATTTGAGGCATCGTCGAAACGTGCTTATCGGCGTCTCTAACGGCATTAAGTTGAACACATTGAAGCGCGATAACGTCGCGCGGTATAAAGTCGCACGCGTCTGCGTTTGATTTAATTAGGTGCTAATGAGAGCGATAGCCGAGCACCCCGCCCGGTTGCAACGGAACGACTTGGTTCTTTCTTACGCGCGTGTGCGCTCTAATGTTACTTCGTAAAAAATTTCTGCCTGTGGTGTATAAAGAAAAAGGAAGCGAGCGAGAAACGAAAAAACCGGTAGCGCAAGATCGAATAACTCTGCGCGCGGAGGCACGCCGGCGATAAAAAATCATTTCCGCAGAAATGGAGGTCGCGGCGAGCGAAACGAAATAGCCGTATGTTCTTTCGGCGTGAGAGAAAACAAAAACACCACTTCGTGAGTGAGTATTAAAAATTTCCCTCCTATGTTTTTCGCGAAAGAATGCACGTAAGCGTAAATCGCCATATATTTTCCGCGAGAAACTTTTGCAATATAATCGAACTTCTGGCGACGATGTAGTTTCGTCGAAAGTTGCGACGTCGCGTCAAGATCGTATCGTTTATCTCTCCGTGTGTCGCGAAAGTCAGAATCGAATGACGACAAAAAAAAGTAAATATTTGTCGCGACTAGCAAAAACGTCTCGTCGTCGATTTTATTTTTCCGGCGCTAATAAAAAAAATTTTAACGCGTCATAAAGCGTTATTATTAGCTCCCTATTGACCTTTACTTCTCAATAAGTTATTTGGATTCGATTCTTCGCGCGAGCTACATCTCCGTCTTCCGATTCGACAAATTGGCCGCGTTCAGCAGAACGTGACCGTTTTTTATGATTATTTTTTGCCGATCGAACGCGGACATTTTCAACAGTTGACACAAGCCGTTGCGCAAAAAAGTCGCGCTTTTGCTGTGTGAGCGCAGTTCTTTTTTTTTTTTTTTTTTGGTTTTTTTTGCTTTACGAAGATTGCAGTTTCATGGCAAGATATCTACATCGACGTGTATTCGAAACGCTTGACACATCGTCGAACAAAACGAGAGGTTTTGCACGCGATTTGAGAAGTTGTCGGGCCGCGCCGAGCGAAACTTCGCTTCGCTTTCGTTCGCATTCCGCGCGCGAACGAAGAGGTACAACACACACAACCGAAGACACAATAAACGGCTTATTGTTCTCGGGAGGAAACAATGATGTGTAGGCAAACCGGTGGTGAAATTTTCTGGATACGACAATGAATCGAAAAAAGAAAAAAAATTCAAAAGAGGCTTGTGTTCGGTGAAAAAAAAAATTCGATGACGTCGCGCGTCGTGCGCAACGCCAAGACACGATAACGCGGAATGAGGATAGAGCGCTCGTGCTATTTATATCTCTTCGCTACCTTCGTTAGCGTTTTAGAATGCGTTTTTAATTGCGCGTTTTTAATTTCGCTTATCTCCTTCGGTGCCGTCTCTCGGGAGTTGCGTCTCTCTCGCGACGGACGTACGTCGTAAAACGGCAGGGTGAGATTAGCAAGCGCGTAACTTTGCACCGCCGTTGGAACGAGAGTCGAGGACCACTTGGTTGTAAAAAATATTTCAGAAATTATTTCCTCGCCAAGCTTCTCTTGTCGGTGAAAGCTTCGGATGTTTGTGTTTCCACAATCTCGAGAGAGGAACTAACTGCATATATACCGCTAATTGCTTGTCACTCGCGCGTTTCACAGATAAATGATTAATTTTGTCGTGTTTTTGATACACACACGTTATACAACCACGCGCGCGCACCTGAATAAATCAATTAGAATTTGTAATTGCGCAGACCGCGAACTCTAATGCAGTTCTTTCCGCTTTAGTGAGAAATCGGTTATAATTGCATTAGCATCTCAACATGTAGTAACATATTACAATAATATGATATTGTTCGATTCTCTGTGTTACATGACTTGTATTATTTTTTTTGTATACAAGCTGTGAGTCAAAATCGAACTAATCTAATGCAATCATAAATAATCAATGTTATTTTTAGTACATGTTTTGTAACTATACGCGCCGTGAAATTAATCAATTAGTGTGATAATTGCACATTCGCGGACTAATGGAGTTCTTTCCACATAGCAAAAACCGGTTACGATTAGTATCTGACATCTACCTTTAAAAGCTGAAAGATTGAAATTTTATGCTCGGATGGAACCTTTCCAATCAAGAGATACGACGAAAACATATTTTAAACGTGTGCATAAATATTCGAGAAGGTTGTTTTTCATTTTCTTTTTTTTTTTTGGAAAATAATGTTTTCAACACACATAACAAAATAATCGAGTGCAACTTTCATGAATATTTTCGACATTTTTCAAATTCTCGGATTGATCGTCCGAGCCTCCGTGCGTTTGTTTATTTTTAGCCGCGTTGTTTTCACACGATCGTGGCATATTGTGGGTTCAACCGCGAGATTCGGTTTGCAACGAATGAACGATAACACGCAACCTGGCGAAAGTGCAAGGTTAAGACGAGCCGAACACGCGATTACGCGGGCGTTTGCGACACGCTTTCTTGTCCTCCCCTGCGAGGATGTCATTGTCGCGCAATCAAGGTCGCTTATCGGTCTTTTAACGAAATCGTGCCATTCCTGTCATTTTTTTTTTTTTTACACGCGCGATGTGATCCACGCGATTACGTCCTTATTTGCCGCGATCTTTGTGCAAAGCGAACAATGCACTCTTTTGTTGCAAAATATGTTATTATTACGCTCGCGCGCCAACGACAACTTTCTTTCTGTGTGTCATTATTTCGTTAAATAATTATCGAGGAAGTCATCAAGATCTTTTACGTTTGGCTCGCGTTTGTTTTTTTTTTTTTCAAGAAATTTCTTCCTTGTAAACGGGAAATAAATTACGGTCTTTAAAAAAAATCACAAACCGTAACAAAAAAAACGCGAATGATCGATACGCACTTTGCAATATTGTTATTGAAAATTCTATTTATTTTGTTTTATTATCTCTAATCCTGAAAACCCCGGACATCAATGTTCGATTCTTGAAGATAAAAAAAATCTTATTTGATTATTTAGGACAAGAATTTCTAAAACATAAAAAAAATATATCAAAACTAATGTTATATACAATGTTTAATAAAGCCCCATGAGTTTTTACAGGGGTTTTGCAACGCTTTAACCAATAAAAATCATCGCGTCCGACATAAATGTCCAGAGTTTACAGGATACGTGCCTGAAAGTGTTTAAAAGAAACATGTTTATAGAGGATCAAGGTTGTATTTTTCTTCCCTCTAATATTTCACGTATTTGTGCGACAAATCGAATTCGGACAATTTCTGCGCATCCTGTTTGAGCATTCGTGCGTATCGTAAGTGTAAATATTTATCTCTCGCTGCTTCTTTGAAAAATCTGCTGTCACTTAGATATAGGATGCACATCGATTGTTTGGACTCGACTTATCGAAAGTTGGTGCGACTTCATGTTGGTTCTAATAAGAATCAACGTTGATATAACGCGCGCGGATATTTTTACTTGAACGACCTTTCCGATCCTTCAAGTCATTTTCAATACAATCAATGAGACAAAATTTAGATCGACAAAGTTCAAAGTAACAATTTTTTCTATATACGCGAAAAATCTCGACTTAGTCGGCGCATTGTTTAAAAATCGAATGAAAAAAAATCCAAGCAAACAAGTAAACATTTATCTTTGACGTTACTCGAATTTATGCTTCCACGCTAGTTCTGACCTTGAAATTTCTCTTCGTACATATTGTGTATGTCAAACGAATAGAAAAAAAATTGCACGCTTACCTTCACTGCAGTTTCGGATACTCGTCGTCGCGCATTCAAACAGGCGACCTTCATTACGAAGCTCATGTCGCATCGACGATCACTGCCAATAAACTTTGTTGACTGACAGACGTCGTCGCAAAGGCGCCGGACAACCTGGCTGGATCACGGGGATATCGTTGCCGCCGACAATACGATTTCCACACGACTAGCTCATGTTTCGTCGCGATCGCGTTGTTTTACGATTGTTCTTTATTCGTGCACAAATCATACGAAACGATAAAAAATTATCTCGCGAAAAACGCGCAACGATTATCGACACTGTCGCGCGAACAACTGCTTGTTCCGAGAGAGCCTCACGTTATTTAAAAGTTTCGATCATCGAATGTCTCGAGTGTCATCGCGCGTCGATCGATCGAAATTCTCCGATTCTTTTCTCATTTAATCGGAGTGTAAACGCGACGACAAACGTTTAATCTTCGAACATACTCGGACAGTCGCACACTCGACGCTCTCGACGGTTCGCGCACACTGAAGTTGCCGCGGACAAGCCACGCGACTCGGACGCAAAAGCGGAGCTGCGCAAGATGGCCGCCGGCGAGCGCGCGCTCGCATTGGTCGGCGCGCACGTCAGCTGCGCCAAACGTTTATCGCGGCCGCGACGCATCGCAATGCAGGGCTGATGTGATAAGGGACATCGTTTGCGATTCTTTCAGATTTTGCACAAAGGTGCAATTGAATTGAGATGCATCGACGAGCTGTTGCAAATAAATTATTGTCAATTCACTATTTGTCAGAAATACAGAGTGTCGACACAGATATTGAGAACTGTCAAGTTTTCTGGAACGCTGCAGCTTCAATGCCGGCAATTCGCTTGGCTTTCACGCAATTGTATCAAATTAAATAATCGTCGCGCTGAGACTTTTTTCACTCGTCTCGCGAAGAGTAAACGAAGAGAACCGTAAAAAAACACCGGTGATAAATCAAATTTTTCTTATCGTTGTAACGCGAAACAGAAAAAGAAGAAGCGCGATAACGCTGCTGGCAACTCGAAACGAAACAAACAACAAAAATGCACAAAATTAACATCATTGTTATCGTGCGTGAATGCCGTGTCAAATAAACGCAGAGCAACACGTGTGAAAGTTGGATCGTGTATAAATGATAAGAAAGTTTTTTCTGCATTATCTTTTACATATTGCACACTTTTTTTTTTTATCTCGATAGAATTTACGTGTTGCAAAATTTATCGCGCGAGAATTCGGTCATCGCTTGATACAATTTCATACGGCGCTTGAACGGCGTTTTTCTTTTTTTTTTTTTTTTGCCCCTCTCTCAGCGCGCCGAATCTATTTTCCCGGCGGATGAAAGTCATCTTCGCGATGAATTAGAAATCCCGTTTCGACCGCGAGCAATTAACGATTCCCGCTCCCTCCACCCGTTCAGAAGCATCCCCAGCGCGCTCGACCCTGCAAGGAATGCAAGGTAACTGCAAATTTCCGGTGAATTCTAAGCGGGATGGGCGTATCTCGTTCGAACTCCCGTCGTCCTTCTCGCTCTCGCGATCGCCTTGGGCGCTTTTCGCTTCCGATGCTCTCTCATGCGTGGTTTCTCTTTATTTTACCATTTGATCGCAATTACGCGTCACGAAACACGCACACACGCATCCAACGCTCTTACGCAAGACACATCAGAGCTTCTTCCGTATGTGCGAGCTAATTGTTATCTTCCCCCCCAGTGAACTCTGCGCGCTGCAACAATGAGAGAAAAATAGCAAAAAACGGATAATTAGGGCGAGAAGCGCATAGTGTATGTACACAGCGCGTCACTGAATCGCGGAATAGGCGCGGGGATCGGAGAGCAAGCGGGCCGTACGATTCGTATGGCGCTTGTTGGCGAGCAACCACCCCGCTTGCCTTCCGATCCCGCGCCTATTCCGCGATTCAATGACGCGCTGTGTACGTACGGCGAACGTATCTGTGCTTATATGGGATTATATGATCGACGATATTGTCAATGCCGCGTGAAGAATCGCGCGTGAAAACGTATCGGGAAGAAATACTCGGGACGCCCATCAATCACGACGGATTCTTTCGCGATATTGAAGTTGATTTTTCTCTGAGCGAAACACCGACGCATCAATCATTTCCGAAAATTACTATAAACAGAATCACATATCTGTCATAAATAATTGCAATTAATTATTTTATAAGAGAATTTGTACATACAATTATATATTTCCAATTAGAATACTAACAAGTGTTGTATCTCTCTCTTTCTCTCTCTCTCTCTCTCTTTTTCATATCTATTTGTATATGTATACATATACAGGGTGTTTCAGAACTATGGGATCAAACTTCTAGGGGTTATTCAGTGCAACAGTAGAAAACATTTGAGTATAGGGACCCATGTCCGGAAAAGTGTCACTACCGCACTACGGCCCTAAGACGCGTTAAAATTNATTTTTTTTTTTATTTCACTTTTCCGGACATGGGTCCCTATACTCAAATGTTTTCTACTGTTGCACTGAATAACCCCTAGAAGTTTGATCCCATAGTTCTGAAACACCCTGTATGTATGTGTCCTTCTTTGTATGGCAACTTTTCGTAAACAGAGGTTTGAGTATCACATACATATGTGTATATGTGTACATACGCGTATTGTTACATTATCTCTGAATAATCATATATGCACACACATGTTTTTGCTATAATTATTTTTTATTTAACTTGCGCGTGCCAGAGTTATTCTCTAACCTACATTCAAAAATTGGCCACAGAAAGACGATATTAGATAAGAGATAACTAAATAAATAAAATAAATAAAAAAAATAAAAATTAATGAAAGATGCGATAATATAATGAGTATATTTATACTCAATTATGCCTATTTCTATATCCGAGAAAGTTTGGTTTATGTCTGTAGCCATCTAGCGTTGATATTGATAAAGTTTGGCAGGTACGAAAATCTACACACGCATATAAAACGCGTGTATAGATCTTTGTACCTGCCAAACTTTATCAATATCAATGCTAGATGGCTACAGACATAAACCAAACTTTCTCGGATATAGAAATAGGCATAATTGAGTATAAATATACTCATTATATTATCGCATCTTTCATTAATTTTTATTTATTTAGTTATCTTTGTATCAATTAATCAATTTTGGAATGTGGGTTAGAGAATAACTCTGGCCCGCGCAAGTTAAATAAAAAATAATTATAGCAAAAACATGTGTGTGCATATGTGATTATTCAGAGATAATGTAATATATACGCGTACATACAGAAAAGTAAATCTTGACAGTTTAGACATTTTTTCCTCTTTTTCAGTCCGCAAATACATGTACATTTTCCAATGCAAGATAAAGAATAACTCTTGTTATAAATATTTGTGAATTGAGAAGAATCGTATTTATAACATACAGATATAACTCTCTCTCTCTCTCTCTCTCTCTCTTTCTTACTCAAAAATGTGTGAACGTGTCAGAGGATCGAATGTTTACTTTTCTGACGGAAATTCCGCGCCGCTCGATATCGCTTCTCTTCCTTGGTGGAGAAAAACTTGCCCCGGCACGTTCTCATTACCACCTGTTTTCTGCAACAGGTGTGCCAAGATCGTTAAGTGGATTGCAAAAGGGCGACGCGCGATTCGCGGAATGAAAAATATTACAAACAAGCGCGCGCACACGCGAGCATTTATAAACGCATCCCCGGATACACGCACATTCTAATGTGTGTAGGTACAGCGGATGCTGAAAATCGTTAATACCTCACGTTCTGTCATTAGACGAGCCGTGTTGAGACGTGATGATTTCGCGTGATGATTCGCGTGGAGCAATCAAACGCATAACTTCGACCGCATGAAAACAACGTTACATCACGTATCTTTCTCCTAAATTATCGCGCGCAATTATCCGTGAGATTTACGTGTGATTACGCCGCGATTACAACATCTTTACAATCTCGCGCGTTACCCCGTCCGGGTTAGGCGTCGTTTCGATCGGCAGAGGATGGAGCAATTCCTTCAATTAATGATTCAATTATGAACACACGGACATACGTGTGTGATGATGTCACATGTTTCTCAAACTTAGAAAAAAAAAAAAAAAAAAAACACGTAAAAACAGAAGCAAGCGCTAAATAGCGCGGATTGTAAAAAAAAAAAAAAATACTGCGACGAGTTTCTTTCGAGAAATATCGACGAAAGACTGTTTTTCAATATTTCCGATATTCGCGCGTCGTTACAATAAATTCGTTTTGTTCGGAACAGGGGAATTGACAGCCGTCCAGTTTTGTAACATGAAGAAAGCAGATTCGGGAGAGAACACCAAACCGCAATGTCGGGATGAGAAACTGACCGCGAAGTTGCGGTAAACGGTCGAAGGACAATGCCGCGCATCGGCAAGAAAGTTTATTATCTCGCGTGTATAGAGAACTGCTGCGTGAAAATTCATGTGAGAAAAAGAAACTATAATAGGACACGCGATAATAATAACAACATGAAATCCTAGGTTTTGCAAGAGCTACAGCTATGTGTGTATACATATATATATATATATTTAAATACGATTCTTCTCAATTCACAGATATTTACGAAAGTTATTCTCTGTTTCGCACTGAAAACTATACGTATGTACTTGCGAATCGAGGAAGAGAAAATATATATTTATAAAATCTCAACTCTGTCACGGTTTCTCTATATTATATATATATATATATATACATATATGTTACAGTATCTCTGTAAAATCATATATGTGTACACATGACTTTACTAGAATTATTTTTAGTTTAGCTTGCTAGTGGGCCAGAGTTATTCGCCCTGCACATTGCAAGTTATTCTCTGACTCACTCAAAAAATGTCATAAGTTTCTGTCATAGGGCTCTGAGTACAGCAATAAAATATTAGAAATAGGAATATTAAGTAAGAAATTTAAATGATTTTTTTACAAAACAAGAAAATAGAATAAATTAATGTAACATAAATTAAAAAATAAGAATTTGGAATAATTAATCTATTCCGTTCTCTTGTTTAATGTAACATTATTTGAAATTCTTTTTGTGAATATTTATTCTTAATATTTTATTTATTGTACCCAGAGCTTCATGAAGGCTATTGAAACATGACGAAATATTTATACTCAATTTATACTATTTCTATATCCGAGAAAGTTTGGTTTATGTCTGTATCCATCTAGCGTTGATATTGATAAGATTTGGCACGCGCGCGCGCGCGCGCGTGTGTGTGTCACATTAAATAATTATATAACGTAAAGAAACGACAATATTCTAAGCATCTCATTATGAATTCTATCCTCGTAAAAAAAAATACGATTATTTGTGACACACGATTTTTTCTACGATAGCGGCGAAAATAGTCGAATCAAGTGGCTTGAAAAAAGTTTAAATTTTCGCGCTTTGCTTTTCGATGCCTAACAATTCGAGAATAATTGATTGCATCTGTTTTTCTCCGAGAAAAAAAAACAATCGGCCTCAATACCGACCAGCCGTAGTGAAAGGTAAAAATTTTTTCCTCGGATCGCACGCGCCTAAATGCACACGCTAAGCCCCATCCCGGCACGCAACAGGAAACGCGAGCGATCCGATTCGAACAATGCGCGGCTGAAAAAAAGCATACATACGTACATACAACAATACGGGACAACCGCGACAGCCGGCGTGGTTTTATGCACGCATTTGGGAGTGTCGACCGATATTGCACGCTATATTGTTACGTGTCAACTTTCGCAAAATCGCGTGCAAATCGGCCGGCAGGGTCGACAAACTGTGCGCCTACATATACGGAATGCGTTTCGTTGACCGTGCTCCACAATAGAACTACTTTTTTTTTTTAAACAATTTAAAAGATCGTAAAAATTTACAACTATATAGGTTACAGGTATTAGGGTTCGATAGAAGTCGATATACCGATGTACGTGCCAATTAAGGCATATATTTATATTTATATTTATTAACTTCCCTTAAACGTAAATTAATTAATAATATGTACATCGAAACTCGAGTTAAATTTAATCCGAAAATTCACGTAAGGTTAGAGTTTGTGTGCACGGAACGCGGGAGATCCGCGCTCATCTCCGAGCTGGAAAAAAAAGGTGTCTTTTTTTGCAATTGAGTTTTTAATTTCCCCATGGTAGAATAAACTGAATATTTCACATATACATATGATGCAAACCAAGCATCTGCGTGAATTTTTTCGAAGTAAATTTAATTCAAATTTTCATTTCAATTTGTGTATATTAATTTACACGCTTAGAGAAATTAATGAATGTTTTTTTAATTGCACGCACATCCGTCTATACATCGACGGCTTGCATCGATCTTAATATGGTTGTATTTTTTTTTTTTTTTTTCATTTACGCGCGTTCTTCCTGTCATTCAAAAACACGTATTCATTGACGATTGATTTGCGACGCACAGAGAGACGCGAGCTACTTTGTCGTAGTAATATTTTTTGCGTCTGTATGAGAATCTCGTAGATGTGAGACTACATTACATACGTTACGTTTGTAATACTATATTATTTCGGTACCGTTATGGGAGAAAAGCCATCATTCCTCACGCACCTATAAATACCATCGAGAGAGAGGTGATGATCAAACTGGTTTTTAGGTAATTGACGAGAGAAGACACAAACACTCTAGTTTGCGCGTAGCTGTGCGGAGATAACCGGTTTCCCCGGAGAGCGGGCAATCTTTTATTTATTTCGAGCGATAATGTGTGCATATCTACAGGCGTAAAGCGCAAGAAAATTGTAACATATTACGTAAAATGTAAGAAAATTGCGTTAAACGAGACTCTCATTATGGCAAAAGAAACAAATACAACATGAAAAATTTTGATGCAAATTTCTAATAAACTAAAATTATTAAAATATAAAAGTAATTATATTTACTCAATTACACAAAATGCACACTCATTATTTACGTACGTGATGTGTCTTTCCTCTCTGATTACATATTTGCGCAGTGTCAAGTTGGTTTAAAAAATGAAACAAACTACGTATCACAAAAAATGTGTAGAATTAAATATTATTGATGTCATTTTCATATATAATTATATTTAATATCAATAACAGTGGAATACGCAAGTCTGTATATATATATATATAGTAAAATTATGACGGAAGAAAATGTTTTTTACAATAATTTACATATTTAAGTAACAAAGGTAAGTGTAAAGATAGTAATAAAAACTTTATTCCTTTATTGTTAAAAACCTGATTTAAATTAATTCGATCAGTTAAAAAGCCTGATTGATATATAATTCGATCAGTTTAACAACACTAAATTTTTTTAATATAACAATATTAAAACTTTAATGTTGTTAAACTGATCGAATGATTTGATTGTGTTTTAATATAACAATATTAAAACACAATCAAAACATTCGGATCTGTAAAAAGAAACAAAAAAAAATAAACTGGAATCGTCGCAAGATCGCGACAGTACGATGATTTATTTTGCAATTATTACCTTGAAGTGCAAAAACAACATATGACAAAATGTATCTAAAAAAAAAATCCTTCTCAATTGATTGGTACTTATCATCGAGTAGAATATTATACTCTCTATCTCAAACAGCTTGTATATAACAAAGTACATCATCCTTCAAGTATCCCTTAGGCATATTTTCCCTAACCGATGAATCCCACGAAAATTCCAATATAGCAGTTGGAATCAATCGTAATTCCAACAGCGTCTTCTCGCGACACTCCTCCACCAGTTTAATCCCGTCCGGCGTTATCAGCAAGAAGGACACTTTGTCGTCTACCAGATTTTCATCGACAAACTCGATCACGTTTTTCAACTTCTCGTGCACCGAGAATGTACCCTGTAATATTATCCCGTCCGGAAACTTAATACGAAGCACTGCGAATTTGTATCTCCTAAGCGCACGCTGCTCGTCCCTCTCCCTCATAGCCTTCGTTCGTAGCATCTGATTTCTTTCCACAGCCTCCGTCCTGATTATTACAAATCCAATGTTTCTATTTAGTTTCACAAATCATACAAAGTTCACGCAAATCAAATGCGCTATACTCGGGCTACTTACCGTAATTGTTGCTCCCTCTTTATCTCTTCCGGAGTCATAGTGAAGAAACTGGGTGGCAACTCATTTCTCACGCGCGCTTGGCTGGGCATTAGCACTTGCAAATTTCTGTCCAACTCAATGGGAATGGGCTCCGCGGACTTCAGTGCTTCGACCAGGATTACAAGATTCTCGATATCACAACAGTCGGGACTCCATACTAAAAAGTCCTCTTCGTTGTCGTTATTCAATAGTTTCTTTTTCTCAAAACCAGCTGCCTTCAAGAACTCTAATGCTCCTTCAATAGGCATGACTTTTTCCTGAAAAATCACATGCTTCCTAGTATCAACTATTTTTGAAACAGATTGCTTTTCAAACAAACAAACGGCAGTTACTTACTTGAAATATTTTATTACACATTCTAATCTTCCAGTATTTCTCGATTCCAGGATTGTTAATGATATTATCCAAATATTTGCCGAGCGTTTCTACACAGCCATCAATTCTTTCCTTTCCGGTGTTGCAACTCTGAATAATTAAACAAGATGTCAAACCAGCTTCTTCCCCTTCTAGCTGTTCGTACAAAAATTCTCTTATTTTCTTCTTCCACTCATCTCGAGGCAATACTTCGTCGGTTAAATAGGGACAACGGAAAAATACATCGGTAACCGCGAAAATGGAAGGATCCTCAATTTTATCTACTTTTCTTTTCAAGGCCACGTCTTCTGTTTGTTGTGCATTCTGCTGTGCTTTTCTCTCTAGTTCCAATTCACGTTTAACGCGTGCTTGAATAGCAGCATATGATCTGTGTAAATAATTTTAATTCAAACTCTAATAGATATATGTATTCAAATGTAATAAAACAATAGATTTTTAATATTATTACACGTACGTATTAAATCTTGGTTTGTCAGTTTTTTGTGCTTCTAATCTTGCCAAGGCTGCTTGACCTGCAACTTTAGCTTCTTCTGTCGGTTCTGCTCTTTTGATTGGTTCTTTAGATTCCTGCGTATATGCGGTACTAGTAGATTCAGTTAACCTATAAATAAAAATACACAATATAAAATTAAATATAAAATTTATATAAACTCGATCCAATACATTTAAAACATTATCACACTTACTTGTAGCCTTTTCCTGCTTTCATAAACTTTGCACTTGTCTTTTTTTTTTGGAAAAAAGATTTGATTTTATCAGCCATAATTATCAGATATTATAAGTCGTTATTAGTTAGTCAATTATTATTCAGTAAAAGTCTCAGTGGATAAATTGTAATCTTCGGCAACACCTAAAACATGAAATTTCAAAATTATTTTAATGTTATTCATAAATGTCTGTTTTGTGCTTAATTAATTAGTTGTCGCTAATAACACGCACAAAAAATACGTGATGGTCTCTCAACATTATTTTGTAATATTCACAATGTTATTTACATTGGCATCGGAGATGTAATTAAAAGCGATACAAATGTGCGTTTATTGGCGAAATGCGTTGCAAAAACTTAATGAAGAAATAACAAGATGCTGGCATCGAGCGATTCTAACCTGCTTTCATGAATTGCTCTGAAATCCTGGATCCGTAAATGTGCCAGGCAATGAAGATCAACGCTACGATGCTCACAAACGTTAACAGGAAGACCTTGAGCAGTTGAAATTGAAAGTCGTCGAACGATAGCAATGCTACCAGTTCGTCGACGGATTCGCGGAGCTTGAACGTCCCGTCATCGGAGATAACGTCGGAATTGAAGGTTAGTCCGAAAGTTGACAGCAATGACAACAGGTTGAGCACGCATTTATTGATCGCCTCCGACAAATAATTTGTCCAAGGGCACGAATCCTCACATGCGTTGCTCATTACATGAAACGACAAATTGTCATTCGATTTGCGAAACGTCACCTCGCACCCTGTCCTTCTCTTTTTTTTCTTTACCGTTGCTCTGAAACGAAAACGTTAAAATTGCTACGGATTTCCGATCGATTGTGTATATTTTGTACTCATTGTCAAGAGCTTACCGTACTATAGTAGCGGCAGCAACATATAAATATGACACATCGTAAAGGCACGAACGCAACCCTTTCTGAGAATATTATCCCGATTGGTTGACTCCCCACTGTAACTCTTTTTTTGTTCGACAAAAGGTAAAAAGTTAATCAATCAGAATAATTCTCTGTCCCGCAAAACTACGTTGCCAAAAAACAATTACAAAATAAATATTTGTAAATAAGTAAAAAATATATTTCATCGTGTAATATCTACTGACACGCAATAAGCCCCTCGCACAATGGANGGAATAGCGATAGCGATAGAAATAACAGTTTTTTAACACAGAATTCCAACTCGTCGGAAATTTTATCGCTATTGCTTATTCCGATTTTCTGATCTGCATTGATACATGTGTAGTTTTGTATGTTAGATTCCGCTGTTCCTATCTTTATTTTTAAATATAAACTCTTTAAAACTTTTGTTATTTCTATCGCTATCGCTATTCCGTCTATTGTGCAAGGGGCTATAGGATTGTTACTTTTTGGAACAAAAAAGATCCGAGAAAATAATGTTTTTTTTTTTTTTTTACTTTGTAGGCGTCGTAACAAAGGTGGTTTTATTTATTTATTTTTTTTTTAAATAAACTGAGACGGTCTTTTGTGGCAAAGCGAATATATTCCATTGTGTAATATCTAGTGACACACAACGATAAGACTGTTGTTTTTTTTTTTTTTTAAACAAGAGCCCGTGAACATTATTACACGTCTATGAATATATTGTACGATGTTTGTATAATTAAAATGGTTTGGTTTGGTTTGGTGCTCTTTTGGCTCAGTAGACCTATAAAGCTAGTCCATACGCCATTCTATGTCTTTTTGATAACAGGTTTAAAACCGTGGATTGGGTTCCTTACGCCAAGCCACGGAGTTGTACATTTGTTTAAATTAAAAATAATAATAAAGAAAGTGGTGTAAAACACCGACAATTGTCCAAAAATATTCACTACGCACATCCAACCGATATGGCTGATGCAATTCAACTTGGATGTGGTTGACAAAACTGTATAATTAAAATCGCTTATATAACATGAATGTGTAAATATGTAAAACATGATGATCGCGGCTCGCCGTCGCGAGGTGGCGTCGAAATCGAGCGATCGCACGACTCTTTCACGCGCTTTCGTTCTATCAGTTCCGAGTTATCACTGGACGGCGACAGTGCTCTATATAAATCTAATTGGAGATTATCGCGAGTTCCGTCTGCTTCCGTCTGCCAATTCACTTAGCCGTATAATGACCGTAGTTTACGCATCTTGATCGAATTTCGTGCGTCGTTAGAGTTCGCGAGCGTTCGCGGTGCTGAATTTCGTACAGAAGAAATCGCGCAACAAAGACTGACAAGCCATGGTTCAACAGTACCAGTCGCCCGTGCGAGTTTACAAGCATCCTTTCGCTCTTGTCATGATGGTGTGTTTATTGCCGACGTAGCCTTCGCGAGCTCGCGACTGTCATGAAATATTCATGACATTTCGTGTGTCCTTCGCGACATGTGTATCGCGTCCCAGGCAATCCAATAATTTCGATTTCTAGAAACTGGTTGTATTAAACTCCGAGTGGGTTGGGGAACAAAAGGTTGAAGGCGAGAAAGCGATAGAAATTCTTTTAAATGTCACGCTTTTGCAACCTCGAAATCCGTCCCGCGTGCAAGTCACGAAATTGTTTCGCGATTTTGTTTTTCTCGCGTTTCATTGCGCCGCTTGTCAATCTCCGCTCTCTGTAATTAGCATGTCCTCGGGTGATATACGATGACGAAAACACTCTCCGTTCGTTTTGTTTTTTCTTTGCAGGCGTACGAGCGGAGATTTCCAACGTGTCCACAGATACCAGTTTTTGTCGGATGCGAAGTTATGCTGGACGAGGAGAGCAAGGATGGTGCCATTAGAACCACCGAGAGAAGATGCAAATTAAATGTCGAGGCGCCTTACATCTTGAAAAAGGTTTTAGTCGTGTAGTTACATTAAAAGATATATATTGCTGTGCTGTCTTCTAATTTTAATTTTTAATTAAAATGTTCGGTTTTTCGTTTACCATACCTCTCTATAAGGAGTTTTATACTTTCCCCTAATCTAGAAATTTTGAGAAAACATTACAAGTTGTCTGTGAGATATGTAGTTAACATGTCTATAAAATTTTTAGTGTCTTGTTTGTAGCAAGAGAAGGTGTTTTTGATTAATTGTGTTCTTTATTTCAGATAATTGGTGTGGATTTTGTATACTTTATTCAGAGGAATGTTTTAGATAGACGCAATAGTGTTTTAGAAATTGAAGCATACAACGAAAGCTTTGCCAATAGAGTAACTGTTATTGAAAAATGTAGATATTTTGTAAGTTTATATTTTTTGTACATTTACAAAAATATTTTAGAAAAAGTTTATTTACTTGTATGTTTATTTTACAAAAAATATTTTTGTATGTGTATTCTTCAGTTCTTATATATATTGAATTAATACAAGATTGTTTATATTTAGATTCATCCTGAAAATCCAGAATGGACTTGCTTTGAACAAACAGCAAGTTTAGATATTAAAAATTTCTTTGGATTCGAAAATTCAATGGAAAAATTAGCAATGAAGCAATATGCTCAAAATATTGCCAAGGTGATCATTCTTTTCAATTCTTTTTATTTTAACATATTTTAAAAATATTTGTAATATTTTTATATAATAAAATTAATTACACCTTTTATGCGCAGGGTAAGGAAATTATAGAATATTTCATAAATCAATTGAAAGAAGAAGGCATCACATATGTTTCTCCTTGGGAAGATCCGAAGGAAGGCTCTGAGGAAGAGGAAAAGTAAGTATAACAACACATTAGAGAATTTTTTCTTTTTAAATTTGTGTCCATTGATTGCTTAATGATGAACTTTATGTCATCTTGGAGAAATCAGCACAGGCAAGCACTTGAAGCATCAAGAGCACTATTTTTGTGAAAGTAAACGTCTAAAAGTAGCATTTAATCATAACATTTTGCAATTTTAATTTCCAGCAGTAAACATTTAACACACATTTAACCTAAATTCTATACTAACAAATTATATTGAGCAATTATTTCCGGTCTGCAATGGTTGCTTTTTTTATGTAGGAAAAGTGTGGACGAAAATAATGAGTATAGTGACAAAGAATTATGTACTGCCGACAACAAACTGCCTAGCAACAGAGGTATAACATATTTCTCGTAATATGAATTCGGATAAATTTTATACACACGTAAATACTTAATATATTTACATTGTCTTTCTTTCTTTGAAAATTTTAGAAATGCAATTGTCCTCGGATTACATAGAAAGATATTTAGGAAATCTAGACATGCTACAGGAGAGCAAGTTAGTGCAACTTAGGCATAGTATAGAGGAATTGAGAGGGAGTTCAGTACCGGGTTACGCAACGCTCCTGCGGTTCCTGCGAGCCACAGAATTCTCGGTCGAGAAGGCCAGAGAAATGTTAACACAATCTTTGCATTGGAGGAAAAAGCATCAAATCGATAAGCTTCTTGACGAATATGAAATGCCGCAAGTGGTCAAAGATTATTTCCCTGGCGGTTGGCATCATTTTGATAAAGGTAGTTTCATTCAATATAAAAAAAAAAAAAATTCGTTGCAAATGTCATGCTGTGTAAAGAACAATAAAAACAGTATGAGGTGACGAAAAGTGCGGCGTGATATATCTCATCATCTATATTGTTTTCTATAGATGGTCGGCCTTTATACATTTTAAGACTGGGTCAAATGGATGTTAAAGGTCTACTGAAATCGATTGGAGAGGACGAATTGTTATTACTGGTGAGTTTATCAGATTCGTTTCCCAATTGTATTAATATGCATTAATAAGCATGGCATTGATTTGAATAATTTAAATACTCTCGTAATTTCTCTCTTCAGGCTTTACATGTTTGCGAAGAAGGTCTGCATTTGATGGAAGAGGCTACCAATGTCTGGGGACATCCGGTTTCTCAGTGGACTCTGTTGATAGATTTAGAAGGCTTGAATATGCGACATTTATGGAGACCCGGAATAAAAGTATGAATATTAGAATAAAATAAATAATTTGCAGCTGTGTACTTGATAATAAAGTAACGCCTATACTTGATATTATTCTATACCAAAACTCTTTGCATCGCGATTGCTTCCAGCAATTTAATTTTTTCCAGGCATTATTGAGAATAATAGAAATAGTCGAAGCGAATTATCCAGAAACAATGGGAAGAGTTTTGATCATACGTGCGCCTAGATGCTTCCCTATCTTGTGGACACTCATTAGCACTTTTATCAGTAAGAATCGCACGATTGTGATTGAATTACGTAAATTGAATTACGAATCTCACTAATCATTTTGTGTTAAAATTATAGACGAAAACACTAGGAAAAAGTTTATCTTCTATTGTGGTACGGACTATCAAGAACAGGGATCCGGAGGTCTTAGTGAATATATTAATCAAGAATTTATTCCAGACTTCCTTGGTGGTTCTTCCGAGGTAAGGTTACAGCAATATTAATAATTTATATTAATTCAATAAAAAGATCAGGAATATCAATATTTAACAGTAATATAATTTTAATTTTAATAAGAAATAATTCAGTGTGTATGTCAATAAAAACTTATATGATAAAAAAAAGACCATGTATAATATAGATT